GAAATATTTGCAAATAACCACTTATTGATAATTAAGAAAGAAAAAACGTACAAACATAACGCTCCGTGTAATTAGGAACATACTAACAACTACCACTTGGATAACTTTACTTCCTTCTAAGCGTCACCGCGCGGGCAACGTTTCAATAATAATTAATCTTATGTTATGGCCCTTCATTGAAACACGAATTACGTGCGGTACTGTCAACCTAAACTAATTCTACATATTCAGATATGAGCTCGGTACGACTGAAGAAGAAGGCTCATTTGAAATTTATTGTCATGAACTAAGATCAGAAAATAATGTTGGTTCCTGTGTTAGAGACGCCTTGTCCTGTTCACTCGCCTGGGCTGCTTCACTCGTAACTTTCTCGGCGACTAAGTAAGTCAAATGCGTGCCTAATTAATGCTATCGGAGGTCATATATGCCTTTCAAGCAGCCTGTGCTACGTGCTACTCGAAATTCAATACTTTATCGTTACTCCCCAGTATTTTTCTAATCAACTCTCCTCCAGCACCGCGTTACATCCTCTCGAGCGAAGGGTTGCTAGGGTCATAACATAACATAGCGATGTCGGCGCTGAAGAGTAGGTCTGATGTGGCCTGTCGCCGATTCTAACTTTTCGTGCCTTGTTCACAGAAGATCTAAAATCGTGTCATTTGACCGGATCTTTTCATGACTGACGATAGTTTGAAATAGTCAAACTCTAGATTCGGGCGCACGACGGCAACAAACAACTGCTTCATCGCTTCTGCATCTAGGAACTCGTATGAGCGTCTGATTAGTCCAAGAAGTTTGTTTGATGTGTTAGCTTGCGTTTCAACATGCTTAGAAAATTTCAGCTCCTTGTCGACATAAACTCCGAGATCTTTTTCCACACTAGACTATCTTGATTGTAGGTGACCAAATACTTACTTTCCACCATCATTTGCAAATAACATCTTTAAAAGTCCATCAAAATTATTTTCTCTTATTTTTTTCACATTATCTCGCATGGTTGAGGTCTACCCATGATGTCAATTACAGCTCTCTCGCATCTTTTCAAGTGAGAGAACTTTCACAATTGGTGACTGACTAAATGCTTATTTTCCCCAATGTATAGTGCTGCACATGTTGCCATATGGTTGAATTCGCAGCTTTTTACCAGTATAATAAAATCCTATAATTATTGAGTGAAATATTGTTGCCATATACGCTGAGGTACTGATGAAATGTAGCAAGACAGACGCAAAGCAAATACGATTAACGCTTGACCCCTCAACCAAAAAAATGCACACATTTGCCTACTTTTTGAATCTCGAGACTCACCCTCGTTTTACATTCTCACTTTCAGCATCATCAGCATTACTATTATTAAGAGCTTGTATTATCATCATCCCTGCTTCCTGTGACAGTTCTTGTCGAAATCGGCGAGGTGGCCAGGCCGTTAAGCATGGTGGATAAGGGAGCAGTGAGTTGCGTGTTCGAGACGCCATACCATAAATAGTAAAAAGTTCTGCCATACCAAGAAAGTTCTGCCATGCCATCATGGCCTAATCTGCTACGCTGGCAAATTTGTCATCATAAAAAACACAATAAAGTAAAATGATCGTAAATGAAGAGAGCACATAGAACTTTATTATCTCTTTTGTATTCCTATGTAAATACTGACCCAAGTGATTCAACGAAGGAGAAATGTTTTTAAAGGAGGTGTCGAAACGGATAAATTGCAACTCTACAATCCAGTCCCGAGTATTTTGAATGTGTTTCCGTATCCAAGGATATATATACAACTCTTCATTTTCAAAGTTTTCCAAGCAATGTTGTAAGGTTCAAGGTAAGGACGACTCCTAGTGGATCCGGAAATTAACCCAAAACTGCCACCGATCCTCAACAAGGGAGAAATGAAATGATAATAAACAAATGTTTATTGAACTAAACACGCTAATTGAACACTAATGAGCAAATGGTTGAAGAGATCCTAATACTTAACGTAAAGCTAGAACTGCAGAACTAAACATGGGATAATTGCCAGAGGAATGACGGTGCACAGCAAATGAAGGGTGGAGTGGACACACAGCAATAGTAGTACACAACAATGGTGGTGCACAGCAGTGGTAGTGCACCGCAATGGTAGTACACGGCAATGGTAGTACACGATAACAATGAGGCACTTGACTTAGGGAGCACTTGCACGATGGGGCACTGTGCTTAGGGTACACAGCAATGGCTAGTGAACTTGGGTTGAGACTGGGCTGGTACAGGTACTGCAGTTGAGAAGTACCGTCGAGGCCAACCTAACTAGGAGCCGTAGAGGCCGGGCAAAGAGTCGGTCCTGCCGAACAATGATGGCCAGCAAGACTATAACTAACGCTATTATGCTATGGCACTATTTCATTAAACACAATACATGTATACATTCAATAAATTTAAACACTATATTCAAAACTCGAACATTAAAGTAGAGAGCAAGCCTAATACTTAGCAAATACCGTACACCCACCTAATAGGGACGCTACAGGAACACTCGAAAATAGTGACAGTAGGTACGCTCCGACCAAGTGACAGCAATCGAATGAGAAGAACTAACCGAGGCTTCATGCCGGTAACGTTACGTCAGCACATAGCATAATGCCAACCCTACTCGCAGCCGTAAAACTTATGACACAACAATAAATTAGAGTAACTGAAATCCTAAAGGGTGAATTGCCCCTACAAATGTAGACGTCTCATCCTCAGTGACTCATGCCGTGGTTTAATGTACAATATGCCAAATAAGTGTAGCCATGTCTGCAAATCTTACCAAGTTAATGAGTGACAGAAACATACTAGGGAACAAGATCAGCATGTTTTTTAGTGCTCGCATAATATCATAGTGTTGAGTAAATATTATATATAAAATTTGAGAACTAATTTGGATCGCCTTAATGTAATCCACTAACATATAGATAATTAAAGTACATCTGAATCATCATTTTTAATACCCAGTGAGTCTTCCAGAAGCAGCAAATCTCCATCCGCACGTGCATTAATCAGGAGTGAATTTGCATTAAAGAGCCATGCGCAGAATATTAATTATTATTGTAATAACAATATAAAAATATTATTACTATTATTATTGATTAACCTTGTTTCGTTTTTTCCGACAAAACCAATCTTTCAAATGACGTTATCACTGTTGTTTATTTTTCTGCCCGCGTTGCAAAAAATTGGCGTAAATGTTCTTCGCGGCCCAGGGCACTGCCGTGAAGGCCAGAGATCCAACTCCAACGGCTGTTGCGACCGCGGGCCCGAGGCTCACTGCTGACGCGGTGATGACCCCGGCCCTCAGCGCAGTTGCACCGGCAACCGCCAGACCTCCAATCGTGTACAAGCTGGACTTCGATCCAACATTGTCCACCTTCATTTCGTTGTTCTTCTGAACATAGGTCTCGAAGTGTTCTTCTATGTTCTGAAAAAAATATTCATCATTGTGATTGCAACTTCACTCACTTCCTTCGGTAAATTTTTTGGTCTAAAGTTATTTAAGTATTTTGAAGTCTCGTGTATATTCAAGGGATATTATTCATGAGCACACGTTCTGGCATTGCAATGCTATACTCTCATTAAAAAAAATGAAACCTTAGATATATAAGGAAGAGTTAATAGACACATAATCGAACTAAATGTCATGAAGCTTTTAACGTATAATTCTGCTGTAGATTGGCATTGTAGAGGTCAATGATTCTAAGTGATTGGCATTGTGGAGATATATGATGGCGAGGAGACAGCATTATGCAGGTAGAGGATGACAATGTCGGAGCAGATAACCCAAGTAGACGGTGTGTTAGCAACAAAAGAATTGGGATCGTTACTGATACGCCTAAAATGCAAATGATAATTTCTGAATGTGCATCATATTCATATTTTTGGTAATAACTATAAAAGCATGGGAGCAAGTAATTTTTTCAGAGCGGCTGTGCCAATATGAGGCGGGAGAAGAAGATGGTTCAGTGTTTCAATCCAATAGTTATAACGTTGCTTTTAGAGGTTTAACCATTACTTATCCCGTTACCTCAGAACACATTTTGCCCTGGACGTTGAAACTAAAGCTGAACTGTTATGATGGTATGAGCTTCAGGAGAAAGTCACCGCATTAAAATTTTGTGTAAAAATGTTAAAGAAATATTAAACTTGTAATGATCTGCATTCCATCTGTTATTTTCTCTTTTTGGCCGTTCAATAGTTAAATTAAAGTACGAATTGGGCCTTTCGTCTTCTACTCTACATTTATGTTTGATCGTCGCGTTCATCGCCCAGCTCTCAAAGGACTTGAATCGCTCCTGGATTACAAATTCATGCACATCATGGATAACAAATCCTTGAATTGCCTGACATCATAGAATACAAATCGCCTGACATCATGGATCACACACCGTCAGACATCATGGGTTACACATCTTAGAATCACTCGATATCATGGATTTGTAACCTGGTATATACAATTTATGCGTCGGCTGGTATCACCGATCACGCGCGCCTGCATGCTCATTTAACGCCATTGCAGCACATATCTGCCACCTATTCAAACAAATTGATAATATTTATTGATAGAAATTATTGCCTCTGCGCTCCATGCCTAATAAGGCAATGCATGCATTTGATTGCGTAAGCACAATCATCATATCTGTCCACAATCTGGCCGCGGCTTTACACGGCCCAAATGCTGAGAGAGTTCGGTCAGCGATCTTATGAGTACATGATAGCACTTTCGCTGGCTTTGACTCACCGTTTCAAGAATTTCCCTAAATTCAGCTGCAGTTACAAACGAAACGTTGTTTCTGGCGTATTGGTTTTCATTGTTGTAAGCTGCAATAGCTTCGCTTTTTGCCTCATAGTGACATCTGTTTAGAATAGAATCTTCAATCGAATTTCCATGGTACCAAGAGTAAGCTCTCAAGGGATAATCCAAGTCCGAGATTAGGTCGCGGACAAATTCGATTTTTGAATCCATTGTTCTTTTGTAAAGCTCAAATGCCATCTTACGGGTCTCATCGCTTTTGACGCGCACCATTATCTGAAAAGGAAATGTTGTAAGTAAGTTCTTCTCGCAAAATTTAATAGTTGAGAGCTCTCGTAAAATGTTTGTTTGAACATAGTATATCTTGATAGTTACCAACTAATAAATTGAGTACATATATCGAAATTAAAGCGTTAAGTCGCAAATTCCTAGAAGACGGAGTATGTGGACAATAATTTTATCAAGCTCAGCACCTCAACGAGGGTGGTCGGCAGAACTTCTTTATTCTCCCTGAAGGCCTCCATGTAGGTCCTGAAGAGGCCCACCAGCTCCTCCCCGGTGGCGGGCTGTCCTTGCCCCGCAGCTGAGCGCTTCTCCACGAGGCGCTCAGGCGCCAGCAGGCGAGGCACCAGCAGCTTCAGGTGCTTCACGAATTGCTCGTCCAATTCTGTTCAGAAAATTACTCGATTGAATTCAAATTCAAATCGTTAGGAGGATGGTTGCGAGTTACAATTATTGATTATTCTATAAAGAAAATTTGCGTAACGGTAATCTGAGGTCTCAACATAAACAATTCACTTCTCAGTGCTGCTAAGAATACCAAAAATGAAGTTCAGTTACAATTTTTTCAGCGTAAAATATATATTTTTTCTTATTTAGGATACACAAGTCAAAATCTGTATACATCGAAGATGGAATAAATTAAGTTATAAAAACCTGTGTTAAAAACCATCCCACGTGAAGCTGTGACTGTGAGCAGATCTAATTGTTCACGAATTTTTCTACTAACAACATAAATTTTAATGTCTCAGCGAGCTCACGATTTAGTCGGCCATCAAAGTCTTCATCCCTGATGGCACGCATGCCAATGTGCGGCATGAGGTAGCACTCCAGGTCCTCGAAACTCTGGCGGAGGTCTTCTCTAAGCTGCTGGTGCGCCGGCTCCTGATCTTCGTTTACCTGGTAATTGGGTTTGGATTAAAAAGGGCATTGATGACAATCACTAATTTATCACTTTGTGCAGCATTAGTAGAAATATTGTATTCAATTAAACATTTTCAATTACATTTTCTCCGAATAATTCGCTACAATATTCTAGATATTGCTTCCAATTGTTCTACTTTCAGTATAGAAGCTTTAAACTCAGGCTCTGCAAATCGGCGCTTCACCAGTACAGAATAAATGATGCAAGACCCTCCCAATCTAGCGGCACCCGAAATTCTATCAATTCTGAATTGTCTCAGCCGAAGCCAAAAACTGCTTTTAATTTATAATTGTTCTCAATAAGCTACTACATTCCATGCTGTCAGAATAACGTACAGCAACATCAGAATTAGTCATTCTGACCAGTATGATCACAAGTCAAGCTTCTGGCGACCAATATTGTGACCAACTTACCGTCAAAATTCTGTCTAGCACAGTTTTGCCGCTCTGGTGGCCGTATGGATACTGCTTTGGGAAGTTCCAGTCGCGTACCAGGAAGAGTAGCTTCTGTATAGGAAAAATGTCGAATTCTAAAACTCACTGAATTGAAGTTATACGTGTCACTTTGGTGAATAAATGAAGAGCGTCGGCGAACTTATGAATTAAAAATTACACAATTTGAATCACACGAATTTGCAAAATTGCCCGCACTGAAAAACAGTTAACGTTTCGAACTTATTTGAACACCAAATACAAAATTCACAAAATGTACTTCGCTAAGATAAAAATTCCACTGACAATTCAATCATCAACAATAACTGAGACGGCGGAAAACCCGAATCTTGTTTCTGAGAGCAGTGAGTAACTCAGATTACAATTTCTGCTAACGTACGCGACTGTTATAGCCGTCATTGCAGAAACACTGCCCTAAGGTTTCAAGCGCTACTGGGTGCCACTGTACCGCCGTGCATATGCAGCCCGGCCACGAACATTCAGCTCCGAGCTTGCCGTCAAACAACGCTTTTCAGCGCCATCGCGATACATTACGCATGTAGTGTGCATGTAGGCAACACGAAAAAGCCAGCAGATTGGCATGCGGCCAACTGCATGAACATTGACTGCGTGGCTGCTTTAAACAGCATCGTTTGTTTCGTCCAAAGTATACAAATACGAAAATTAAACATCGTATAGTATGTTAAAAATCCCTCTGATATAATAAAAAATCATGTAACTATTAATCTATTTATATTGTTACGATGTTTCATATTATAAATCATGACACTGTAATAGTTCTAAACGAGATTCGTACCGGTCCCAAAGTGTGCAGCAGGAGTAACACGTACCTTGCGGTTGACTACTACATATCGTTCAGTTCTTCAAGTCCTGGCATCTCGGTAGGGGGAGGGGGGAAATCATGAACTGAGGTAATTTTCAGTTAACAAGTAGACCATAATTCTAACAATCAAAATTTAAATTTGAAAATTACACGGCCAATATTGAAAGAAATGATTAGTGATAATAACAAGCGAAACTTCAAATTGAGAATTCTCGGAACTGAGTAAGTTTCTATAAATTTTACATCTCTTTTTTCGAGAATTCAGTTGTTTGTTGTCAGATACTGACAGGATCCAGTGCTCAAGTGCCAATTCACTACTGAAGAATCTATGTACAAAATTTTTAATATATGTATTTGTTGTACTTTAATATCTAAATTTTAGAATAAAGAGAGTGTCAGGGTACTTTTCTTCGTAACAATTGTTAAGTGGGATTTCATTTGCTGAGGATCGATGAGAAGAGTCAGTAATTAGAGGCGGGGAAAAGAACAAGCTAGGTTGCTTTCATGCCACATGTTCTCACTGCCAATTACTACTTCCAGAAGTTTGGACTTGCAAAAAAATGTTTTATCGTCTAATCTAAATTTTTTGTATCGAATAGTTGCGTCTCTCCACTACAATGACAAGTCTAAGGTTGAACACGCAGAGGTTTCATAATTTTGAAACCCGTTCAAATTGAACTTTCCATTTTTCTTTCAAAGATTCATTAAAAATGTTTCAATTTGATTGTAATATTAGGACTTGAATTGCTGAATGTATTTTTCATATAAAACCAACTTGTTAAGAAGTAATGCACGTTTTTGAAAAATAAATAGGGAACTGTTCCTCAGACAATGTCCTATTTTCCAGGTGTACTGTGTTAGACGTCTCATTGCAGGAACTCAAGTTTGCAGAAGACTCAACTCGCCATCTTGACGCTGATCGAGATTCGGGAGCCCGCCGAGTTGTCACATTGACGACACAAGAGCGACCTTGTGCAATGTTCAACTTCTGAATTGTTCAACTTCATCGATGAAGTTCAACTTCATCGTAAATCCCACCAATGAGATTCCCCATAGGAAACTACATAGCATTTTATCCGTGTGGCGTGTGACAATACGAAATACTTCAACAATAACGATATTAATCAAAAGATTTCATTGTTAGAAATATAGCAGGAAATTTATTTGAACTGGCACATTGATTTCATGCAAGCAATAAGGTTTTTTAGTAATGGTACACGCTGCGTGGATGAAGTGCTAAACAATTTCCGGAGTTATCCCCAAACCTGAAACTCGATCCACTTGAATTAGCATTGGGCAAGGGAGATGACATTCAACTAAGCCTATGTATTTGTCGCATAAGATCAGTACAATTTTTGCATCAGCTAAGGAAAAATTTGTGGGAATTTTGGTAGGTTTGAGCACGAAATATTTACACGAGTCTTTGTACATACAGGACTAGGAAGCAAATTGAAACATAACACAATCAATTTAGGCATCGCAAAGCATATAACTTGGGAAAAGGTAGGTTTCGATGACGACTAGGTTTATTTGAAAGTCGTCTTGTACGAGTACATAATTCATAATTACTTGACATACATTTACTAACTTTTATAAACAAGTATTCGAATAAATAGAAATTGATATATTTTCATTAATCCCTAAAAATGTATGCAATTCAGTGAACTTATAATAAATGTTTTTAAATAGTTGACAGTCATAAACTAGGCATATTCTTTCCTGGACACCAATCAAGGCACTGGTGGTTGTGATGTCTCAATAATAGGTAATAAATTAGTTCAAACAGTGAAATCAAGCGTTGTCACACAGATTTAATACCCAATCCAACAAAAATGAATTTATTAGAACGTTTGTGAATAAAATCAAGTAGAAATGCATCTTCACCTTAATTTGTCTACGAACGATTTCCAAATTTTTATAAAATACACTTACCTGAAATGCGCAGGAGTTTTGGTTGATGGAGTTCTGCGCCATGGTCCCGAAGGTGCAGAACGTCTGCAGGTTCATGAGGTCGTCCTCTTTGATGTTGTTCATGAGATTGTACACAGTTACGGAGGACGTCAGCAGCGTCAGGGCGAAGATGAAGGTTGACTCCTTGAAGAAATGAGTCTGAATGAATCTTTCAGCAAAATGCCGGCTAATTTACTCTAAGGGTTTGTTCCGTGCAGCCAAAGAAACGCCTACCGTCATGGATTTTGAGACAAAGTATCCTCGAGCTATTTGATGAACGGTTGTGTTATGAGTGTGTTGTTATAGACATAACACTGAATTGTGACATTGTTGAGATGCGAGTATACAAGCGGCTTCTTGTTAACCGTACTAGCTATAGGCGCTTATACGCAGGGCTAGTATTAGCTGCAAGTATGCGCTCTAAGTTTTCACACTCCAAGTTTTGCCGGCGGAAAGCTTATACACGAGAAAAGTATTTGATAAACAGTATTTTCGCATCCGCTAGTGCCAGTGCGTCGTTGGAAGCCGTCGAGCGAGGTCCGTACATGGTGGAATGTGGAACGTAATTGCAATGAAGAGTTAGAGGAGGCGTTTGATGAAGAAGTTGGTCGCATAGTTGCCACTCTTGCTGACAGGGTGAAAACTTTGTAGGTCAGCATAGATTGTGGTTGAAAGACCCAATAAGGTCTCGATTGAGTTTCAAAACACTATTAACTCAATTAGATTTTGACTGAATATTCATCGTGACGTACATTCCACAGTAGATCGTACTTTTGGAATATATTTAAGAAAAGTTAAATATCATCTGAACACCTCTTGACGTTCTTAGAACAGTCGTCGTTGTGACAAGACATACATTAAAAACAAGTTCATACATTACAATTCCAGTTGTGAAAAGTTCATACATTAAAAACACTGGCTCCAAGCAGGATGCAGAGCGGCACAAAGTGCACACTACGGTAGCCGCAGCACTACTGCTATATTCGCCGGCACAGTAACAACCAGAACGCAATTAGCATCAGTTACTTGCATCTGAAGAATAAATCATCACATATTTCTAATGCGAAAATTTGCAGCTAATACTCGCAGCTAATATTAGCCCCGTGACAAGCACCTTATGGCAGAAACTCCCCCTGCCAGAGACCCAGCAGCTCCTAAAGCTCCTAGTTGTTATAGCAGGAATTGAAATGATGACACCTTATTCTTTTGCTTCTTATGCAGATACAGTCAAGTGACGTCCTTTCTTCAGTATTTTATTGTTGTTTGTTTAAAATACTGAGCATTCTCAGTATCAGACTTGTTTTGACATTTTACGCATTACATAATTTTAGGAACATATAAACGCAAAAGATTGTTGAAATTTTCAGTAATTCGTACTCATGTTTTCACCATCAGATTGTAATGAAATGATTCTGTTCAAAAGAATCAGAGAACCAACAGAAGTTTTATAAAAAATTATCATCGAATTCAGCTCTGATCTTTGGAATTTGATTTCGCCTCGATTGACGAGTTTATGGAGTGGATTTTTTTAATCGAATTCAAATTGATTGAATTCGATTTTTTATTCTTTCTATGTGTTCTCTATATCAAAAACTCACAACCAGCTACCTGATAAAATATAAAGATTGAAATTAGCGTTGACAAATATTTTTGTTTCGATGAGATGAGTATATTTCATTCTAACAGAGTCCATTATTAATGATGCTATTAATCACTATCACACGAAAAGATCCGGTCAAAGGACATGTTTTTAGATCTCATGTGAACAAGTCACGAAAAATACATGAATCGGCGACAGGCCACATCAGGCCTAATCTTCAGCGCCGATATCAATGCGTTATGTTATGTTATACGTATTAATGATTCTATTATTCACTATCAACTTGCATTCCAATATATAAACAAAGTTTGCAGCGCCTATTCAGATTCATTTCAACCATGCCGCTACTACGTTTCCAGGAATGAATTGGTGAAATTTGACATCAAAACAAGCGATGAAAATCCCATCTATAATTGTACACCACTCGACTATTTGCGAAGCCTAATCATCATTGATTTGCCAGGAATTTATAAAATGTAATGAGATTAATTTTGAAACGTAAGCAAAGTATAGACAGCGCCCTTTCTTCGAGGCCAAGATGTTTTGTCCTGCACTGAAAAGTTATGCACGGTTACTGAGCGGAGAAATTTAAAACTTCTCAGCTAGTACAAATAACGTGTTTTGAATCATCAAAAATTAGTTACGTACAAGGTTATGCAGAAAGTAATGACAACGTATCCCTTATCAGGTTGTTGATTGTAGAAACATAACCAAATAACAGACCTGCATCGACGTGTTGAAGTCGAACGTTCCTTGGGTGTCCATGAGAATCACTGCCACCTGAAAAAGAGGACAAATGTGTCATAACTGTTACATATCAAGTTTATTTACGAAAGAACCCAATTCAATTATCGAGAGCGTTAACTGCACGTTTTGTCCACTATATGATCGATGCTTCAATTTGAAATGCTGGTCCACTTAATTTTAGACTAAGCTTTCTGATTTTTTTTTACAACCGTCGAAATTTGCAAGATAATCTACTTCGATGGCGGTACAACCCCGAAATGACTCCACAGTATTGGTGTTTTTCATGAAAACTTTGAAGATCATCCAATCGAAGGTAGCCTCGGGGATAGTTTTTTGTCACTTGATGAACACAAATTAACGAAAACTTTAACATTACCCCTTTCCTCATGTTAGCTTTAGAGTCAAATTGACCCAGTTTCATTTAATTCTTTTACTACTGGGAAATAGCCAAAAATAATTTTGAAGCATTCCACACCAAATGCATGACTCAATCTACAAAATTTTGATTAAATGTTGTAGAGGTCTTACAGTATATTGAATGCTATTTTATCGTTAGGTATAGGCTTTTAGTTAATCAATGTGTTGTCAAGTTAGAATAAGTGTTAGGAGGTTTGAATTGTAGAATTGTAAGAATATTTTAGAGAGTACTGAAACTGTGCTGGGAAATTGCGGATAGGAAAAGGCAGCAGTTGGAACGCGGCCGTGCACGCAGCTTCTGGTGGTGTGTAAAGCAAGAAAGGCTGGAAATTTAGCATTCAATCAAAGAAGAATAATATGAATTGATTTAAGTGAACCATTCTATAAGAGAGTTGAACTGAAGATATAGTGACTTTCCTAAAGACTTTGTATGAGGTTGTATTTTTATGTATTAGGTACGAGACATGCATTAGGTACGAGACAGCATTAATTCAAGTAGTGAATAATTGAATTACGTTAATAAATTAACTTTAATTGCACTTCAGCGAGCCCTAACTCGTGTTAAAACGCGGCAGATATCACTTCAGCCCACAAGGAATGGTGACGAGTCTCATGCTCTAACATCCTATACACTAAGCCTAAGTATAGGCTACAAAATTATTATAATCAGAATTTTTTAAAAATTGCGCAATCGAGAAAACAATTTTGGACACTGATTGAAAACTACTGAACACTGCGGTAAAACTCGATCGATTAGAAAACATTTTCATCCCAAACTAAGCTATTCCACCTCCAAGCAGTCTGAGCTCTAAGTCATCAGCTGGATAAGCCTGGATTCAGGATCAAAACTACTAAAGACAGAGACGTAATGAATCATTCCATGTATTGAAAATTTAATTTCAATATTTAGAAAAATAGTTGCACTTAACTTGTTGGCCATAATGTTAAATAAGTAGCGAAATTTCATTATAGTCTAGTACTAGTATAGATTGTCCGATCGTGCTGAAACATGATACACATTTATAACGATCAAATACAGGCACATGCATGTTATTCGTAAACATTCATAGGAAACAAGACGGAAAACGCGGAGTTGTAAACATAGCAATAAAAATGAAGGAAAATTCCTAAATTATTACATTTCATGAGTTGAAAATAATGAAGAAGTAGTATTATATATGCATAATACTCATACGTATCGACTCAAGAGCTTATTTTTCTTTTCCTCCCCTGCGCACTTTTTAACCTATATTATTGAACAAGTAATTAAATCAGAATAACGCTTCTACAGGCGGTAGATATTCGTATTACTAATCGAATGATATGTTTCTTAACAATGATCTCGTAAACCCAAGGAGTTATGGAATTTATAAGCAGAAAATTTCACCTGTTACAAAGAGCCATATAATTAGAACAGGTTCAAAAAGAAGTAAAATTTGAACAATTCATTGGTATTCTATCTTTCGCAAATCATGCGCCAAGTGACTCCTTGCTGTCAAGTTTAGCGTGAAAAATAATATATTTTGAAATTATTTTTAAAATAATATTTGTATATTTTCTCATGAAGTGTACATTTATACAGGTTAGAAATAGCCCTAAATACAAACTGATGCACTCACACATAAGGTTGGCTGCATTAGAAGCGCCTTGTTGTCAGTTGTCGGTTAAAAGCCATTGTCGAAATGGGCTCATGGCCTCACTATATAGCAGGACAAGCTCTCCCCCCTGCCTCCGAGCTGAATAATATTCACTTGTGGGTTAAATAAAAAACTCGGGGTTAAATAAAATTGAACCTCTTCGACTGAGATTATTTAAAACTCATGAGATATTAATGAAATAAATGTTTAATATCGTAATATGAATTAATATTCATTTGCTTGGGAGGCTGTCGTCAAGACCTACTACGTAAACACATCAACTTCCTGACCAGCACAGAAAGATAAATAAGCCCTGAGAGAAATTCCGTGAACATATTTCTCTGTTTTAACACCGCTGCAGGCGATGTGGGTGCCAACGCTGTCTTAACTTTCAGTCTGTAATGAACCAATGTAAAAAATAAGGCATTTTGCCTGTGCTCTCTGCAGGCATAAGCCTCAACGCTGAGCTAAATATTGACCATTTAACTGGCTTCAATATACAAAAACACTTCAGGAATGCAGATCGCTTAAACATTGAAGAGTCACATAACAGATAGGTAGCTGATAGCACAGTGCGCAGCACTATCAATAGATCTACTAGTTTTATGTCCTATAAATCTACCAGACTCTACCCTCTAAACACACTGACTAGTACCTAGTGACTGAGTGACTGACTGCACTGTTCCCATTTCATTCAGACTAATAAACCAATAATAAACATACACTGAACGATAACCAAACAAACCTTAAACGACTTGAAAGTAGACTCATGTTATGTGAAAAGCTAACACTGTTTGATATAAACATGAACACAATTCAAACATTTTATTTCCATTCACTGTATTTATTTTATATGTAGTTTTATAATTGTAATTGTTTAAATTCTAGTTATAAATTCACATATATAAAGATTGAAATTAATTATTTTAATTAGAATGCTCATATAAGAGTGGAAAATCTTTCTAAATGACTAAAAGGTCAATACAATCTCAACCAACCCTTCATATATAAGCTAGCTAACACATGTAAATTGTATAATGTAATTAACCCATTAATGCCGTGCAGTTCCATTTGGAACCAGCGGGAAAATGGATTCATAAGAGAGTTGTATGATCAAATAAATATAGAAGTGGATGCGTAGGTCTGATACACATCTTGTACATGTTCTGGCAACGTTTGGTTCTGCTGCGCCGACTACTTCCTGTTCAGTTAACATTCAAAGATTATAAGAACCAGGTGTCAAGACAGAACAGCTTGATATCATAGCGGAGAAAAGTGAGTAGTTTGTTCTAAAAAAATATTATGTATGTGTTAGATGCCGAATTTTATTAATGAAGTGAGTACTTCTAATGCTGTGTAAGGCATTACGTGTTATAGTGGTTCTAAAGCATTTAGATCATGAAATATTTAGCCTGGTTTAAAATGAAACCAAGCTATAATTTTTCTCATACAATGAAAATTGATATTTGATGAAAAATAGATATTTGAATCACTTATGATTTGATCATAAGTGATAATATTCCCACAGGAAACCCCCAAAAAATCAGAAAATAATACTCAGCATTGATGGGTTAATATACATATAACAAATAGTCAAATAATTAAAGACTACTTATAGCCTCATAGGAATTAGCTAAGCTGCTAGCAATGTTATATGTACAATGTATTGCAACACTTGATGCCTCTGTACCAAAAACATACATTCAATGGAATTCATACAATTCATTACCATTGGAAAAACATACAATTCATTTAATGGATACACACTAAAGGCAACAGGTTTATATTTCAATTTGTCATAGTACATTTATACTAAACCATGAATAGCAATAGGTCCCTCAAAATAAATTAAAGACTGCCACTCAATATATTTAAATATAAAAAAATATTTAAAAAATAAAATGAATAAAAAATCATGATTTTTATAAAAAAAAAATAAAATGATTTAATCAGTTTGATTTAATCATTGCCAACCCTGATCACTAATCATTGGTCTATCATTCTATTCATAGCATCAGCCCCTACCATGCTCAAGTACTGGAATATGAGCTTTCAAATGTAAGTTAATAAGTTTGGGTTATGGCAACAAAATTTTCCATTTTTTTAAGACATTCTAGTAGCAATATTGATTCAATTAATAAAAGGTGATGAAATTGAATCAAATAAAACTAAGATTGTTTCTCCACGCCCCAATGCGTGTTTGATTCTAAATATTATCAGTATATTTTATGTTAGTGACTGTATGGAATGAATTATTGTGCTGCAATTTACTACTTCAATAGGCAGAATTTTGACAAATACATAAATAAATAATAACTTAAAATTGCTCATACTTTCTAGTACTGGCTTTCAAAAATCAAATTTTAGCATAGGTATTTCCAGGCCTGTTTATGAAAGGGTTAATGTCAGAGAACTTGCAGTTGCAATAGTAGCTCTTCCTGGTTAATTTCTTGTTAATGTTTGCTATTTTTTACATGAAAATTGTGATTCTACGAGTTGAATGATTCATGAAAATATCAACGTGAGAACAAGTAAACTTCATAAGCACAATAGGGGCATATGATTCAAAGTTGGCAGTTGAACATAAACGGACTGAAGAAATACCTATCCTAGCAGGAATATATTCTGGACCTGAAATTGCAGTCAGGTTGTGTCAATCATACAGCATTGCTGATCTGTAGCAGGAAAAGAGTGAATGATGAAATCAGAATGAAATCTTCAATTTGGTCAGTTGAAATTCATTTTAATGTTGAATAATTTAATTTTACTTCAATTTTAAAACTCAATGTTAAATAGGAGTTTCATGTTGTACATTTCATTTTTCATGTTGTGTTGTCATGTTATATTTATATCTTGTGCATAAATTGCGCCAGTTGTCAAATCTGTAGAATCAGCATTTTGTAGCTGATTCAGAAAATCAAACATTAGAGTTAGAACATAAAGAAGCAACAGTTAAGAGTTAGAAAAGGGTACTG